ACCTGAGTGTGGGGACCCCCGGGCCATGGCTGGTGCCTGCAGGAGGAAGGTGGACAGAGGCAGAGCTCAGGGGGGGTGCTGCTCTGGCCTGGACATTGGCTGCTGGAGCCACAGGGATGCAGCTGGACACCGTCGGGGCTGGCGTGCGACCCTGACCCAGCAACTCTGCAGGTTCAACAGGACCCAGATGGCCTGATGCCAACTTCTGGCCCAGCCCTGGGACCTCTTGGGACCTAGTCATCCACCTGAGGCTGACCACCACCTCCCCAGAAGACTGACCACCACCCCCCATGGTACCCTCCATTCCCAGACCGGGGTTCGCCCCTCCCCCCCCCAGAGGGGCTGCAGCTGTGAGGAATAAAGTGTCGTGTTCTTCTCTCGATCCTGCGCACGTGGTGCTCAATTCCTAACCCGGAAGTGATTCACTCTGCAAGTGTTTCTTGTGCTGGGCGTGTCTGGGGAGGGAAACTGGGGATTTAGCATGAAGAGGGGGCCCCCACGCACCCAGTTTTCTCACGGGGGAGGGAGGGGAAGGCAAGAAGAGCAGGCACCAACTGACAAGGCTGTCTGGGTTTGTTCTGGTTCCTGCTATGGCCGTGGGGACCCAGTCGTCTGGGCGGGACCTGGTCCCAGGAACGTTCCTGGAGGTGCTGGGTTCGATCCCCGGCACCCCTCGTTATCCGACAGTCAGACCATGCCTTACCAGGATAGCTACAGAACAGAGACTGCCAAAGCCCCTCCTAGGGACCAGTGCAAGCAAGCTCACTTCATAGGGTGCAGGGAAAGGGGGACCCCTTGACTCCAGAAGCTCCTGGAGGGGAGGCAAACCTGGCCCCCACCCTTCTGAGGGGGTCACTGTTAGAGGAAGTCCTGTGGGGCCAGAGGTGGCCCTGCCTGGGGTTTCCAATGGGGAAGGACACCCCGTCCCAAAAGACTGCTGGAAGGAAGAGGGGACTGAGCTACCGATGGGGACTTGGGACAGCAGTGCCCCCAAGGACCCACCATTGCCCTAGACAGGGGGAGGGAGGCCGCAGGAGGAAGGCAAGGGGACGATGGCGGTCGGGAGACAGTGGGAGGATGGCAGTGAGAGGACGGCAGCAGTGATGGTGGCATCCGGGTGTGGGAAAGGGTGGCTTGGGGCACCCTGAGCTTGGGGTGGAGAATTCTGCCCCACCCACCCAGAAGCCCTCCCGGGGCACTGCCTGACACCATGTGCCAGGGACAGATGCCGGAACACAGACATCCTATTAAGTGCTGTGGCCCCACCATGCCAGTGCCCCACCCATGCCAACAGGGAGCCGTGGAGCTGGGCTGGAGGTCGCCAGGCTAGCAGGGCTGCTCTGGGCAGTGCTGTGGCCCCTGCTCCAGGGGCTCCCCTGACAAGTCCATGCTCCCCCTGAGCCCCCTCATTGCCCCGGGAAGTGCCTCCCCCCACCCCCCCACCTCTACTGGGTGCATGGGTCAAGGCACTGGATATTCTTCTGAAGGGCCCGGGGGAGGAAGGGCAACAGGTGAAGGCTGGCCTGGTCGGTGAGATGTGAAGCAGGACCCCTGACGCCCCCAAACTTCCCCTGGTGCCAAGAGACGCTTCAACGCTCTTCTGCCCCACAGCGCAGGACTTGGTGGCCGCGACTCTCCTTCCCATTCTGCAGATGGGAAGGAGAGCAGGGGTGAGGGAGAGAGAGGCAGGAAGTAATGAGATGAGATGGAGGGGAGGAGGGAGGAAGGAGAGCAGAGGGGAGGAATGGGAAGGGGCGGAAGAGGGATAAAGGGAGGACAGAGAGGGAGGAAGGGGAGAGGGAGGGAGGACAGAGGAGGGAGGAGGGGGAGGAGGGGGAGGAGAGGGGGGAGAGAAGAGAGGAGGGAGAGGAGAGGAAGGAGGAAGGGAGGGAGGGGAGGGAGAGGAGGGAGGAGCCTGCTTGCCTCCTGCCTGTCACCCCCCAGGAGCCCCTGTGTCCCCTGCCCAGGTGCTGCCTCTGCCCCTCGGGGGGACGGGACAGCTTCTGGCCCAGGCGCCTGCAGAATGTCCCCAGCTCCTGCTCCCAGCGGGCAGGGAGCACTCGTGGGGCTTGGGTGGTGGTAGAGGGGCCCTCAGTGCTGGTCCCCTTGCTCTATGCCAGAGAGGAGACACTCAGTCTGGGGGTCCTCTCCGCCGTGCCCAGTGGGGGGCGCTGCTGCTCCAGCCCTGGGTTCATACCTGGGCCTCCCTGCCCCCCCACCATGCCGTGGCTGCGGGGGCGGAGGGGTCCTCCCCTTTGTCCCCAGCAGGAGCCACCACACACCTCCTCCTCCTCCTCTTCTTCCTCCTCCTCCTCCTCCTCCTCCCCACCCCCATCAGATAGGGGCGTCTGCGCCCGGAAGTGCTGGACAGGAAGCTTCCTTGGGGGTGCAGCCTGCACCTCCCTACAGGGGAGCAGTTCAGTCTGGGGTGCACCCTGTGCTCTTGAGGCCCCTGGCTCAAGGCGCCAAGGGCGGGGGCGTCACAATTCTGCAGGAGTTGATTGGGTAGAACCCAGACAGGAGGTGGATGCAGTCGGACAGAACCCAACTCCCCTCCGGCTTGGCAGGCAATCCTTGTCCCCCACACTCCTAGGCTCACGCGTCAAATCACGCCCCGACTGGCCTGTTTGTTGCCTCAGTCCTCAAGTCACACCCTCGGGACAGCCCCCAAGCCTGGGCGAGGCCTGTCACAACAGCGTGGGGGTTCAGGCAGGGGTGGGGAGGAAGGGCCTTTGAACCCCATCCCCGTGGCCCCATGCCCCATCTCCTCACAGAAGGAGGCAGAAACTGGGCATATCGGGGACCTCCCCGCAGTCTGGGTTTGAAGCCCCCCAAGTCTGCAGCTCCCCAGTACCACAGCCAGGCGCCTTTAGAAGTCTCTATTTTTATTGAAAATAAAAAAGACATGGCACTCTCTCCAGCAGAGCCTCGCCACACCAGTCTCCCAGCCACCTCCTCTGTCTCCTCTCTTGCGGGTGTGGCCTGGCCGGGGGTGTTTGTCCATCCTGACAGACCTGGGGAAGCCGGCAGAGGCCAGGAGGGCCTGGCTGGGTGACCGCAACCCTTCCTGCTCCGTCTCCCTGGACTGCGTCACCATCCATGTGCGGATTGGGCGGACAGTGTCGGGGATAGTGAAATCGATAGAACTAGATTGAATATATGCGTGTGTGTGTGTGTGTGTGTGTGTGTGTGTGTGTGCGCGCGCGCGCGCGCGGCCGGGCCCGTCACCCCACAGGCTCTGGGACTTCCTACCACGGCCTAAAGCTGGGCTCAGCCAGGACAGGAGATGGAGATAAAGCGGGGAGGAGGGGCATGGCGCTGCTCCCACCAACCTGAGAACTGGTCTTGTTGGGAGTGTGGGTGGGCATGGGGCTGAGCTCCCCACCAGGCCAGTCTGGGGGTCCGGGCTGCCCCTTTCCGGCTCCCCGGACTGTCTTGAGTGGTGGGTGCCGGCCTCGGGGCACTGTTCCAAGTAAATGCCTTTTAAAAATATTGGGGTTCTTTTCCCTTGGTTTACACAATGTCTGTCATGAGCCCAATTTGGAGTGAGTTTATGTGCCGTTAGCTTTGGGTGGGTGGGTGCGCCTTGCCTGGGTCCCCATGGATGAGGCAGGTGCAGGCTCAACGGAGGAACCGTCTGGCCCCCGTGGAAAGTTCAGACTAACTGCAAAAGGACAACTTTTGAGGTGTAAGCTGAGTGGGGGACCTGGGGGGCTCCCGTGCCCTGCCCTGCCCCTCCCCTCAGGCTGGCTGTCCAGATCCTTTCAGTAGGCACAGGCTGAGGGCAGGGGGCCATCTCACCACATCCCTTGAGTGGTGGAAGCGTCCTCCCAGAGGACCCACAAAGGGATCCCCTAGGTCAGGGGCAGGTGACGGCCACCCACCAGCAGGCCACTGGGGACTCTGTGTCTACCACGGGACACGCTGAAGCCACGTTCCAATCTCCATGAGAAACCAGGGGTGAAGCGAGGAGAGCAGGCAGCTCTGGGCAGTGGCGTTGGGAATGGGGGCTAGGACCCCGTTATGGCCACCGCAGAGCGCCCCCTCAGCTCTCTGGGAGACCAGGCCACCCTGTGGGCACCTGGGCTCTGCAGAGCAACACAGCCTCTCAGAGTGGCACAGACACAGTCAGCATCCACGGGACTGTTTCTTCATCTCCGGGGTCCCCCTGGAGATGCCCGCAGAGCTCCCGTGTGTGGGGGGCGGAGGTGAGACTGCAGAGCTGGACCCCTGATCCAGAGGGCCTGATCCGCTGTGCTCTGGGTCCCAAAAGGGGTCCCTGGGCCAGGGCACTCCCCAGTTCCCCTGGGCACGTAGGGCCACTGCCTTGGGGCCTGGCAGCGTGTCTGCAGGGCAGGAGGCCACATGGGGGTGGGTCTGAGGTCCCTCTCCTCCCTACCCTCTTTTCTCCTGACCATCTGGAGGGGCCGGCACTTTGAGGGACCCCTGAAAGGAGACATGTAAAGGGAACCACTGTAAGAACGCTGCCTGCTGGAGGCAGGGGATGGGTTCTGGGGACACAGGCAGAGGGTCGGAGGACCCTGGTTCTCAGGGAGACCCCATGTGGGCTAGGGGTCAGCCCCAGGTGCCTGCGGTAGGTTTGGCACACGTGGAAGCCCATAGAGCAGGGTCCGGCTCACATGGGGGGCTGGTCCCCAGGAAGTCAGGGTTTGTGTGGTGTCTATGCATCGCTCCTGATGGCCCCAGGAAGACCAGAATTCAGCCCCCAGTGTCAAGGAAGCCTGGTGGGCTCTGTCATGGCGAGGCGGCTTTGCAGGCTGGGCTCACAGCACCCAGTGGCGGGGAGGCAGGAGACAGGGACCCTGACGCCAGTGGGGACGGGAAGACGACAAAGACCATCATGGATGGGGTCGGGGACAGGTGTGTGGGAAGCACCTTTGAAAGGGGGGGGGGGCAAGGCTGTGCTGAGAGGTCCCGGGGGGGGGGGGGGGACAGCCTGGCCACCAGAGCAGCCCGGGGGAGGGGTGTCGGGAGGAGGAAGGGTGGTTTTCTGCAGTGCTCGGCCCTGCCTTGCTCATCTTTGGGCTGAAGGGACCTTCCTGCTGCAGCAGACAGACAGACAGACACAGACAGATGGACAGGCTGTCTTCAGGCAGCTGTGGGGAGACAGCTGGCCAGCCACAGCCCAAGAAGAATGGCGAGACAGCCCCACGCTGGTGCTGCCCAGGTGACCAGGTTCCCAACGTCCAGGAGGATGGTCTCTTCTTCCCAAGGTTCGAGGTCACGACATCCTGGCCCATGCCGGCATCGGCTCCGCTTTCCCGTGTCCACGAGTGCCCCCGGCTGTGTCTCTAGGGGGGTCACACCACCGCACTGTTCACGTCCACGCCTTTGCTGCTCTGCGAGGACGTCATGGGGTACTCAGCAACGCCCGTACCGTTCTCCTCCTTTCTCAGTGGTTTCCTGCAGTGTGGACAGGGAAGACAGGGCAGGGAACGCAGAGGTGTGCATTAGTCACCAAAGTGGGTAACCACCGGGCTCTGCTCTGGGTTAGCCTCCTTGCACGGCCCGTCCTTGTGGGGTCAAAGGGAAGCTGGATATAGCCGGTTGTGACTCCCCCACCTCCCCAGACTCTCCACCTCCAGATGGTTGGGGAGGAAAGCGGGGAGCCATCCACCAGGGACCATGGTGAACAGAACAGAATGGACCGTGAGTCTCCCCTGATTACGATCAGGCTTCGGTTGAGCCAACAGTGTCCACATGGGACATGCTGGTGGCTCTCTGGAGGTGCAAGTGGTGAGGAGGGAAGGGGGTTGTCACTGGAGTTGGCAGGTGGAAATGTGGATGGGCGGGTGGAGGTGGTGACAGTGGTCTTGGTGATGGTGGTGGGTTAAAGGTGACGGTGATGCTGAAAGAGATGGCGAGCTGAGGGGGTGGCCATGGCAATGGGGTTGGGGGGATTGCTATCCCAGAGTGGGAAGGAGTGGGAGGGGCTGATGGCGATGCTTGGTGGTGCTGTGGTGGCTGATGGTGATGGTGACGAGGATGAAGGATGTTGGTGAGTTGAGCTGGTGGTTATGGAAGGGGAGGTGGAAGGGGTGATGTTGGCTAGGGCAGGGGTTGCAGAAAGACTGTCCAAACACTGTCCGCACACACCAGTGCTTCTTGACACTCCCCCTGGGGCCCTTGGAAGTTGCTTCCGGTCTCAGGAGCGTTTCCTGTGTCCACGGGACCTGGAGGCTAGAGGGAGCTCTGAGAAGGCCTCTGCCCCTCTGCACACTAGTTGAGATTCTGCATCCTGGTCGCCTATTCTGACGTGGATCAAGCCCTTCCTGTCCCTGCGGGGGTTCTTGGCCCCGGCCTCGCTGACCATAGCTCTCCGAGCCAAGTAACACATTGTGTGAGCCCAGACCATCCGTGCCAAGGACACCCCTTATCTGAGTCTGATGTCCAGGGACCACAGATCAGGCACTTCCGGTGTCCGGGGGGCCCTGGGCTGAGGCACTGTGGGCATTGGTGTTGCCTAATTTGTTGTTGGAAGCCCGAGAGTAGATTACCTGTGTCCCCTCAAGCATCCCCCGAGCCGCCCCAGCCATCTGGAGACCGTGTGTGGTGAGAGCCAAGGAAGGGTGAGGCACTTAGTGTTGGGAGGGGTGGGGGTGGGGTGAGGTGTTTGTCAACATGGGGAGGAGAGGGGGTTAGGTCTGCCCAGAGGAAGCCCCCCCCCCCAGCACAAGTCTGGACAGTGCCTCTCCTCTGGCAGAAGGAGCTGCTCCCGGGCACCCGAGGACCCCACACACTCTCCCTTGGGGCTCAGGCCACACTGGTGCCTTCTAGAAGCACAAGATAATGGCCAGCCAGCAGGTCCTCCGTGGAGCTTGGGGCCGAGCCTGGAGAAGCTAGGCCTGGAGTTAAGAGATCCATTTCATGGGGAAACTGAGGCTGAGAGAGAGAGTGGGCAGGTGCCCGAGGACCTCTGGCTGGTCTGGGGTGACCCCTGGGCTCTGACGCCTCTCGGGACTCCACCCTTCTTCCCACAGGGGTCCCCCACTGTGACCCTGCAGCTGTGACTACGGTGGGCTTCCTTGTAGAGAACCCTCAAAGCTCTCAAGCACTTTCGGAAACGCCATCTCGCTTGGGAGGACCCCTCCATGCTGCTCACGGACCCTGAGGCCCAGTCCAGCTGTCCTGTTCTTGAGTGGCTTGTGGACACAGCCGCTCTGCAGCTGCTTGGGCCCTGAGTCCTGCTGTGGTCCCCTACTCCCTCCCTCCCAGTAGCCCTGCTCCATGTCTAGGGTCTGCTGAGGAGGGCAGGGTGCAACATCCACTTCTCATCTTTCCTCACAATGACCCCACGAACTGATGGGGGGATGAGGGTGGACATTCAAAGGCAGATTCTGGCAAAGATCTCGGGGTGCAGCTATCTCCCTAATAAACCTCATTCATGGGCTAAGTCAGCAATCCCAGTGCACAGGTGTGGCTGGGGGAGCACCACCTCGGGTGCTGGGGGATGACCAAGAAGGGGGAGGACAGGAAAGAGGCCAAAGCCAGGCCATGTCAGTGGCGCCATGCCCCCTGGATGCCTGGGTGTAGCTGACTCCCCTCCACACCCCGGCATGGGACGACACCTCAGACTGAGCAGCCCGGACTGAGGCGCGCAGCCTTGAGCCCCCACACTGTGCTCCACCCCAAGCTTCCCCGGGTTCCCTGCAGCCTGGCAGAGCTAGAACTGCCCCTATGGCGGGCCACGGTTTTGCCCGACACCCGCATTGCGTCCTTCCACCAAGTCTTTCCGGGCATGGAGGATGTCCCAGTTCCTGAATGTTGGCCACCCCCAACTCTGCAGCCATGGGACACTGGGACACGCCCTGCCTCTCTCCACAACTCAGTTGCCAGGCCTCCAAAATGGGCCCATTATGGTGTCCGGTGCCCGGTTGCTGGGAAGGTTACAGTCATTAGTGTGTGTCAGGCTCTTAGCGGGCACACAGGAAGGGTGGGTTAGCCGGGCGCAGGGTGCCAGGGATCCACTCCCTTTGCCCCTGCGCCCCCTTCCTACCTACTGCGCACCCTGGGGGATTCCAGAAATGCCAGACAGACCCGGCTGCTCCCTCTAGCGCCCAGAGGCCCATCTCCCTGGGCGCATGCTACGTGGCCTGGTTCCTGAAACCAAGAGAGAGAAAGGTGAGAGTCCTTGGCCGGCCCGGCCCAGGCTTCCAGGCCCTTCTCCTACCCCTAGGCCTGGGCCCCTGGCCTCAGAGTGGCAGGTGCCCCCCATGGACCCCCCATACCACCAGCATCCCAGCTCTGCAGAGGCTGCCTCTTGATGCAGCAGGAAGGCTCCAGGGTCCTGGGATAGGACTGGACCCTGCACCCCCACAGCAAGGCCAAGGCCAGGCTCAAGGCCCCCTCCAGGCCCACGGGCCTGCTGGAGGGCTCTGGCTAGAGCTGAACTCAACCCCCTCACCTCTAAGTCCCCTCCAGGGCTCCATCCAAGGCTGGGCTCAGCCTGGAGGTGAGGCTGAGCTGGGGGGAGCAGAGAAGGAAGGCAGCTTCCTGCCAACTCACCATTTCCACCTTGGGAGCTGGGAGCTGCAGTGCCAAAGGCCCAGATGGCCCTTTCTGAAGGTTTTACACCCCTCACCCCACGCCCCACCCCTGTCCCATGCAAACACACACACACACACACACACACACACACACACACACACACACACACACACACAGAGAGTTCAAGACGAGATGCCTGGAGACAGTCGACAGCTTCTCCCTGAGCCAGAGAAGGCCCCTGAGCCACTGGGGAATCACTGACCATGAGGGCAGCAGACCCGGGTGGGTCCCGAGCCTCTTGTTCCCACACAGGACAGGGCAGCGCTTTTCCTGCCAGCCAGGCCCTGGAGGGTCCTTCATGCCCAGAGATGTCAGCACCCTCTGGGGCATGTGGGGAGCAGCTGCTGGCCAGGCTATGGGCCCAAAGGTGCAGGCAGCTCCATCGGCCTTCTTGCTGCCCTGCCCTAGTCTGGAGGGTGTCAGGGTCACCTCCATGCAGGGGAGAGTGAGCTGAGAAGCAGGGCAGGGGGGGCGGGAGCTCAGGTCTCATCCATTCCTCTGGAGGGCCTGTCCCTTGCTCCACACAGGCATGGAGGAAGGGAAGGAACTAGGGGCCTCATTGGGCCCACAGGTTGGCTACACGCTGGGTCCCCACAATTCCTGCTGGGCACAGGGGTCTGTCTCTGGGAAGTGGACTCACAGCAGTGGCCCTGCTGGACCCCGGGACGCTGGTCTCCCTGAGGCTGCCAAGGGCCCAGGGGACACAGCAAACAAACAGCAGCAAATCACATTTGACCCAGGCCCACACCCAGATGCCCAGAGCATGCGGACCCCTAACTCCTGTAGGCTTGAGTGAGGACGAGCCCCCGGTGTGCATGAGTAAGAGCTGGCTGGGAATGGTGGGCTCGAGGAGCAGCCAGGGAGCGCTGGGGGCTGCACTGGGGTGGTGGGATGGGTCCCACCTACAGAGCTGGGCATGTGGGGGGTTCTATAGCTAGTCGGTGGAGGCCCCCGAAAATTGGGAATTTGTTTCTAAGGGGACTCCTAAGTGATGTCCGGGAAGCCCAAGGGCACCTCCCAGCAATTCTTAACCCACCAGGCCTGTTGCATGAAGTGATATCCGTCGATCAGAGACACAGAGATAAGACACGCAAGAAGAATGAATTAGCACAGAGGGTCATGGCATTGCTCAGGTTCATGACCCCCTGTGCTAACGCATTCCTCTTGCATGTCTTATCTCTGTGTCTCTGACCGACTGATATCACTTCATGCATCACAGTCAGAATTTTCATGAGGGCCTGAGGATGGGGTGCTGCTGGGGCCTGGGGGTACTGGGGCCTCGGAGGCTGCACCTGGCGATGCTTGGGGGACTGGGAGATATCAGGGAGAAAACCAGTACCAGCTGCATGCCAGGCCTGCGCCCAAACCTCATGCTCTCTCTCCAGCCCCCAAACTGGGGGTTCTGTGACGGGCGGCCACCCCAGAGATGCCTACAGGCTGAGGGCGGAAGGGTTGGGCTGTCCAGGGACTGAGCCTGGGACAATGTCAGCAAGTGGCCACGGCAGAGAGATATGTGAGTACAGAAAAGAATGATCAGAAGCGTCTGCCATGAGCGTCTCCTGGTGGTCACCGGGGAGCATCAGAGCTGCTGTTTCCTGGTGGACTCGGGGCAGATTTGGCATTTTAACTCTGGGCCTGCATCACTTTGGCGAGAATGAAAATCAGACTTCCAGGAAGTTAGGAATGCCGCGACCTGGTCAGACTCCCCCCATAGGGGCTGCAGCACCCTCCATCCGCCTCTCCCCCGGGACCCCGAGGTTCTGTTTCCTCCCCATGTTCATAAGTGAGAAGTGGGCAGGGGCTGTCCTCTTTGGTGGTCCCGTGCATGTGGGCAGCCCAATCCTTGCAGCCAACCGGGCCTGTAGTTCACTGAGAGGAGTTCACTACATGGCCAGCAGCTGTGAGGGGACATGGTGACAGGTTACTCCTTCAGAGGGGAGCGTGGAGCGGTGGCAGGGGACCTGCCACCTGTACATTCCCCCTAAAAATGCCTTAGCTCCTTGGTTGTCACCAACCCGTCCCAGATTACTCTGGGGAAGCCCAGGACTTGGAAAGGTCTCCCCTTCTCTGTGCTCCCCAAACCCTGCACCCAGACGCTCCCAGCACACAGATGGTCTCAGGGACACTCATTGCATCAGAGGTTGGAGTTTGAGTTCAGAGGAAGAAAGTGCTGATGGGGGGTCCTCAACTTCCTCTACCCCCGCAGCGCCCCCCACTCTCTCCGACCTCTCCACACTCCCCAGAGAAAGCACCTCCTTCCCACCCCCTGTTTCTAGAACCATCCGACTGGCAATCTGTGGGCCGAGGGTTCACCGAGATGGCTCGGAGGTCTCCCCGGAGACTCCAGGCTGAGAGTTTAAACCCACACAGAGCTTCTCACTGGATGCTCCTGCTAATGGCTCTCCAGGACAACAAACGTGCTGGTTTCCGTAGAGAAAAGATGATGTTTCGGATGAATTATTAAGCAGCAAGAAGCGCCTGGGAGCCCAAAGCCCTTCTCGAGGGAGAGAAATGCAGATGGTGTGTGGGGGGGGGGTGCCTGCTTTCTCCTAGTCCCTGCAGAAGGGGGACCAAGCCCTGCTGCCTCCCCGTCCCTGCACAGTGGGGGTCTCCTTGTCTCTAGACTTGCAGAACCTGCATGCTGTAAACGGTAGCAGCCTGGGACGATGGGTTGCTGTCTGGATCACTCATGAGCCCACCGGCACACTCCTATTGACCCTTCAAAACTCAGCCAAGGTGGCCCATTCACCAGAAGCCTTCTTGAAGGCATCTCTTCCCCCCTGGAAGCACAGCTCCCTCCTCTGATCAGCCCCTGCACAGAGCTGGGCACCAGAGATGATGCTTGGCCATACCCTGATGGGAGGGGACAGTGTTCACCGCCAGCAGATGGGGCTCCCAAAAGCAAGTCTTGTACAGATGCTTCTCACACACTCCAAAAGAGCTAACAGGGACTGGAGAGGCAATACAAGTGTTGGGATGCCCACATGCATGGGACCCTGACTTGTCCCCTGGCACCACGAAGTCCCCAAACACCGTCCAGTGTGGCCTCGAGGGGCGCTGGCACTGTCGGCTCTGGGACCCCCATTACTGGGCCCTTACATTGAGCCACAATAGCCCTGAGTATTGGGGGAGTCCCAGAGGGTACCTGGATCCCCTGTATACTGGTTGGGGGACCACCCCCACCCCTCCCAGAGACATTAGTGTCAGCTCTCTCCCATTGCACAGAGATTAAAAACCAGGGCCAGAGAAATGGCAGGAATATCTCTGGACCACAAGGCTGGAGTTTGGGTCTGAACCAAGATTGGACTTTAATACCTGGTGCCCAGCACCACGGGCTCACCCCCTCACCCCAGAGCCTCCCGCCCCACCTCTGAGTGAGCGTTTCTCAGTAACCAGACCAGGAGAAGCGTGGGTGAAGGTGTTGGTAACTTTCGAAAGGTCAGTTTCCTTGCCCCAAGCCCCACAGAGACTTAGGGAGGTGGGTTTGGGGCTACTCCTGGCTGTGTTCAGGGGTAGCTCCCAGAGGTGCTTTACCGGGAGGGGACTATGAGATGCCAGGATTGACATCCTGGGGTTGGCGACATGTAAGACAAACATCGTAATCCCTGGGCTATCTCCGCGGCCCCGGGATCAACTCTGAAATGTCAGCAATGACAAGGGTGAGGGTTAAGGATGTGTACGGTGGCAGAGCGCATGCCTGACATGAGAATGAGCTGTCTTTGAGCCTCTCACCACAATAAAGGGGGGGGAGGAAATGTGTGTGTTGGGGGAGGAGGACAAAATAGAAATGGAAGAAGCAGGTATTTGCCAAATCTTGACAACTCCTGAGCAAGGGGAGAGGGAGACAGAGATGCATGCTTTCGGCTTCAGCTCTCTGCTAAAGTTATTTTTATGATCTGGGGGGTGCCTGGGGGAGTCCCCGTGTGCGGGGAGGTGGCGGGCACTCACCTTTTGATGGCTTTGTAGCAAATGATGACAAGCACAGTGAGGAAGACCAGGGAGGCACAGCATACGGCAATAATGATCGCCAGGCCTGACCACCAGCTCTCCTCCGCCGGGCACGAGGTAGAGTTGGGAGCTGGAAGAGACAGAGACAGGGGGAGTCTGAGTGTGGTCCAGCAGGGCTTGGGGGGGGGGGGAAGAGGGATGGTGTCCACCGAGGGCCACCCCCGGGTGGCTTCACTGTGCTCAGCCGTCTCCTGCTGTCCTCTCCCCAGACCCACCCTGCAGGTGACATCATGCCTGGCCCCGCCAGGCAGCGTGCCACAAGCAGAGGTTAAGCGCCCGGCCCCAGGCCATCCATCGTCCACTGGCATGAGCTAACTGACAGCAGGGTCAAGTTTAATTTCCCATGAAAAATAACAGAACCGCACGCGCTCTCCGTGGAGGCATTAAATTCGCTTCCTCTGAAGGGGGTGGGGAAGGATTGCAGAGGAGGCCCCTGGCAGCCAGTGTCTTCACTGAGGTCAGTGGCTTAAGCGCCTTGCTTGCAAGAGGCGCCTCTCATGGCCTCCTGTCTCTGCCCCCAATGCCTGCCATCATCAAGTGAGCTTGTCTGATGGCCTCAATTTGGAAACATCTCTCGACAAAGCAGAGGATGCTGGGCGTTCCAGGGCCCCCTCATCATCATTCAGCTGGTAACACTCTGGGGGTAAGCCCGTCCACCCTCCCCTGACTCCCCTGGGGCCCAGGCTGTGTGGGATGGACCCACAGCGGAGAGTAGAGCAGGCGAGGAACACGTCGTTTCACGCCTCATTGCCACCACACAGCCTTCCCCAGGGGTCCGGGGAGAGCCAGACCTGATGGACACAAATGCCCCGGGTTGCAGGAGGAATGAGAGAGAGGGAGAGAGAGAAAAAGAGGGAGAGAGAGGTAGAAAGGGAGAGGTAGAGAGGGAGAAAGAGACAGAGATGTGAGAAGGGCGGTAGAGGGGGAGTAAGGAGGAGACATCACCGAGTGGGGCCAGATGAGATGTGAATCTGCCCCCAGAGAACTCAAAATAATGCCCCCAATAAGACTCTGGTTCAAAACTGGTGCCTTGAGTGATGCAAGGGTCTGCAGAAGACCGGAGGCTGGTTTTCCTGAGCCCACCGGAGCCTCACTGCTCATATAGCTGCGGCCACGGTGGTCAATGTGGCATGACTGACATATGCGGAAGTGCCTGGAGAGATGCTCCTGCCAGGGTAAGCCCCGCCTCTCCCCCAGCGAGCACCCCCAGGTCATCCTGGTCATCCCCACATCAGAAGAGGACACTTGCACTTTCTAAAATCAGGGGCCGGAGCAATTGTACTGCAGATAGAGCATGTCTTGCATGCGACTGACCTGGATTCCACCCCAGGGAATCCCATAGGGTCCTCCGAGCACCGTCAGGAGTGATTCCTGAGAGCAGAGCCAGGAGTAAGCCCTGAGTACCACCAGTGGTGGCCCCCAAACCTCTGCTTGTCCATGCTCTTTCTTGAAACTCTTGCCCCTGGATTTTAGCAGGGCTTGCCAGGCTCACGGGGGTTGCAGCCCACTGCCCTGGCCTCTCCCCCTACATGGTGCCGCCGGGCCCAGCTGCTCATCTGCTCCCCTGATGGTGGACACAGAGGCTGTCTCTGGGTGTGGGCTTCAGTGGATAAAGGGGCGGTAAATAATCACACACGAGTTCTGGTGCAGTTAGCGGGTAGGAGCGGCAGGGATAGGGGAAGGGGAGGGTGATGGAGGGGCTGTGATGAGTAGAGAGAGGAATCAACAAAGCCCCGCCAAGCCACATCTGTGGGCTCGCGCTCCTGTCTTCCCCTCGGGAATGAGGGAGGGCAGAGGGCGGGGAAAGGAAGAACAACAGAGCACGGAGCAAGCCCTGAGCAACACCAGTCCAGCTGTGGCTCATCGCAGTGGAGGGGGTGCACAGGCTACCCCAGGGAGGTGACGCTACAGCCCCATCACAGGGGGACAGATGCCTGGTCCCAGGATGCCTCCCTTGAGGGGCCCAAATGTCATGAGCCATGTGGGACCAGTCAGGGTGAGGCTGAACCTCCAGAAACCTCAGCACTAATAGGATGATGGAAAACCCCATCTGGAAAAGGCACCAGCCCTAAAGCTAGGAGGAGACCCAGAAGGTTTGCCTGCTGACAAACGTTTTTGGAGCTTCATGTCTCACTGTATCACTGTCATCCCATTGTTCATCAATTGGCTATAGTAGGCACCAATAACGTCTCATTCGTCCCAGCCTTGAGATATTTTAGCAGCTTCTCCTTACTCGTCTTTCCCAATGCTGCTGTATTCAAGGCTCTTTCAGGGTCAGGGAAATGAGGCCCGTCATTGTTATTGTTTTTGGCATATCAAATATGCCATGGATAGCTTGCCAGGCTCTTTGGAACTTACCGGGGTAAAATATCAAATGCAAGATCCTTTCTCCTAATTCCCTGTATTGGGGTCTCCCTTGATGGGTTGGCTCTTCCCAGAGAGACTAGGCAAAGACCCAGACCCAGCTGCTGGGACATTGAGGTGTGACCAGATCCACAGTGGGGTGGGGGCCCCACACCTGCCCTTCAATGGTCCACAGACACCCAATACCCAGGCCACAGCAGGCATCAGCCGTCAACCCACCCCCACCCCTGGAAATATGGGGAAGGCTGCCTTTAGTACTCACAACCAGTGAGGGCAGAAGCAGTGGAAAGTGACCCCCACCAAGGTGCTGTTGTTCTCGCACAAGGTGAAACTGTCCACAGCCTCACCGAGACCATGCCAGGATCGCTGATGCAAACCTGGTCTCAGACTCGGCCACTGTTGTCTGCTTGCCTCCTGAAGCTCTCTCCTTCTGTTCTCAAGAGGGGGATCCCGCAGGGATGTGTGGACCTCCCCACCTGCATCCCATTCCCCACGCATGCCCGAATTCGGAACCCTGATGGCAACACCTCCCGGTATCCCTCGGGATCTACAGCATGGCAGGGGGCGTGGCCTCTGGGGGTGGCGGCCGAAGTTATTTTTCCCTTTCCCAGCACTCTGGACTCACATCTCAGTCTCCATTACCTAATTCTGTGGAGAACATCCTGCCTAACTATTAGGCCAATAGTCCACTAGCCTATTCCAATTTCACCAAAATACTGGTGAACACAAGAAGTTGTACAAGCCTAATATAAAAGAATACATCCTCCAAAGCTTCACTAGTGGCCTCACATAAATCACATAGGAGGCCCTAAGAGGAAAGTAGAGTTCTATCTAGAAGGAGGGAAAAGGCAACCTCCATCGACCGAGCTCATCCAGAATCCTTTCTCGCAGTGAGAGGAGAATATGGATAGTTAACTGGAAGGTCCCACCTCCATACTACCCCCAACATGAAGAAACAGTGAAAATACCCACCACAAGGAGAGGATGAAGCCTCAACGGGGGTTACCCACAAATACGATCTCTCCAATAAAGAATTCAGAGATGAAATGTTGAAGATGTTCAATGAACTCAAACGAACGGTGGAAGAGGTATCAAGTAAATTAAAGGAGGACATGAAAGAAACAATGGAATGGACAGTGGTTTTCAAGAGGGGGAGCTTCCTTCACAGTGATTCTCCCAAGGGTAGCTGACTCCAAGGTGGAAAGCGGGTTCTGGAGGGTTCTTAGAGGAGCCCTTCCAAAATTTGGTGCCTGTTGTGTGAAGAAACTTCCCAAGGAAAAGTGGGGACAGAGGGGAGAAGAGGAAGGTGTTTGGGGAACCAAGTCTGGGACCAAAAGATGGGCTTTCTTAAGGCAATAGCGACTTTGTTTAGAAAGGCCTCCTCTTTTGAGGACAGAGAATACTGGGACTGGAGTTGGTCTAGGAGGCATCACTCTGAGACTCGGGCTAATAAACAACTTTCCTAGGGCCTAGAGGTGGGATCCCCAACTATGAGGAGCAGACGGGGTCTGTCCCTGCCTGAGCCGCCTTTCTGATAGGTGCTAGCTGGTATTTCCAGAGGAGATAAGAGCTTGTCATGTGGGCAGACTTCATATTCCAGAAGATTACATGACAAAGGCAACCAATCAGCCATCAGCCATTCCTTCATCCATCTATCTACCAACCAGCAATCATCCGTCCATCCACCCATCTAGTCATCCAACCACAGTCATACATTCAACTATCCATTATCCACCCATCCATCTACCCACCCTCAACCCATCCATTCATCTACCCTTCCATCCAGCCAGCCATCCACACACCCATCATTCATTCATCTACCCATTCACCTGGGCTGGAGAGATAGCACAGTGGGTAGGGTGTTTGCCTTGCAAGCGACCAACATGGCCGACTCGAGTTCCATTCCTCCACCCTTCTCGGAGAGCCCAGCAAGCTGCCAAGAGTATCTCGCCCACACAGCAAAGCCTGGCAAGCTACCCATGACGTATTCGATATGCCAAACACAGTAACAATTGTCACAATAGAGATGTTACTGGGCCCACTCGAGCAAAGCGATGAACAATGGGAGGACAGTGACAGTGACCTATCCACCTAGCCACCCGTCCATCACCCATTTACCCATTTACCCATCCAACTATCCCTCCATCTTTCCATCCCTCCATCCATCATGCATTGTCCACCTATCTCTCCATCCACTTATTTATCCACCAAACATGGGTAAACATACGTGCCCATCACTGTGCTAGGCTCAGGAGTACAGAGATAAGTTGAGTGTCAAGTGTGCCCTTGCCAGAATTTTCACCAGCTATTCAAGTAACCTTATAGAGCTGGCCTTGACCTGATCACCGTGTCCTTGGTGCTGGCAGGCTCCAAGGGGAACAGAGACGTGGGGAAGGTCACCCACCTTGCACCTAAGGGAAAGGCCTTCAAGTTATAGGCAGAAGGCTAGGCATCATGAGAGGCGGGTGGCCGGGTGGGGAAGGGTGAAACTGAGGCAAGCCCCACAGAGCTGGGAGCTCCAAGCAGGGCTGAGGAAGTGGACACTACACAGGGACAGTCCCAACCCCGTCTATACCCACCCCAACTACAAGGACTCATGTGCAAGCTAAGGAAGAGAAAGAGAAGAAGTTGAAGCCCCACACTCACCCCATGACCCCCAGTGCTTGGAGGAAGGGCAGTTGGGTGGGTGGAAGGGGGTGCAGTTGT